GTTTGAGGATGCCAATGAGGAGGAGCACCAGCAGCTGGAGGATGCCCATGAGGAGGAGCACCCGCAGCTGGAGGATGCCCATGAGGAGGAGCACCAGCAGCTGGAGGATGCCAATGAGGAGGAGCACCCGCAGCTGGAGGATGCCAATGAGGAGGAGCACCAGCAGCTTGAGGATGCCTATGAGGATGATGGATAGCAGCGGGAATATCTCAATAACTAAGTTGGGTTTGTGAACGTGAAGTTATCATATGCAAGCGTAGAAGGTTTTTATTGTCGTTTGTATTGGGTGGGCTGTGAGTTGTGCTGATGTATCGAAGAGCGTGAGTGGGGCGTTTTGTTCGTATGTACATGGAATTGTCTTTATTATTGTCCACACGTTTGCCATCATGTGGGGACTTGCCTTGGTCACGAATATCACTAACGTTGGAGTGAAGCTATACCCGGTTCTTTCTTGTGTTGTTGTTATTGGTGCTGCGGAGATATTTTTTTTTTTTTAGTTCTACTGTTATATTTCGGGCTCCCGTGGTAAATGGTTCAGCCAAGATGAAAGACTGCTGCGAGATTAGGGTGGCGAGCGATTTCTCGTAGTGTGACGTTTTTTTCTCTGTGTGCGTGTGTCGCAGACGTGCTTCATGACGGCGCGTCCGGGGCACGAGGGCCTTCCGCGGCGCAGGAACTGGGCTCCATTTCGTTGGAGGGAGAGTTGCACCCTCAGTTGCGATTCAGTACAGCACTGAAGGTGGTGGTGCCGTTTCGACCCTTTTCGGTTGTGTTGGGGGTCACGGATGCATTTGGTGGAACTGTGAGTTCACTGTGATTGTTGGAGCCGTTGCGCTTATGGCAACGGTATAACAGATTCCACTTCAAAAAAAAAAAACGACAATAATTTGATGTTAACACTGTATTGGCGTGTGTATTGGTGAGTTTTTCTTTGGACTTCTGTGGGGAGTACACGGGTGGTGCCACGTGGAGTGATCTGGGGTACAAGGATCAACTAGAAGAGACCACCGCAAGCATGGTTAGATGTCGTCCACCTTTTGTTAACATGCACTATACTGGCGATTGCTCTATTGTTGACCCCGTTATGAATTGCGTCCGTGTGCCTCCCTTCACTACTACATTGAGCATCCTCACCGACACGCATCACGACGGTATTGCCATCTCTAGCTTCCGCGTCTTGAAAAGGGAGAGACTCTCACAAATGACATGGGCCACGTGAAGTGGAGTGCACTTACCCACTCCGAACCGTGCATCGCCGTTTGAACTTCAGAGGCCCCGCACTGCGGTGTTCAGTTCTGTGTCTGCTGCTGCACTTGGGCCAATGTGGGCTTACTCCGTGGGCGATTTGGCAGGCCACGCTCAGGCGGTTGTAGGAGGGGCGAATTTTATGACGGCACTGCTGATGTGTGGGAAGAAGTAGCGGGAACTTGCAGGGAAGCTTTGGATGGTGTCGCAAAGGATACTTCGTGGTCATTGTTTTCTTACTCCGTTCGCTTTGGTGTTGACGAAGATGCATCTGGGCCCCTTGCCTTTTGCGTCTATCATTCTGGCCAGTTGGCGAGGGAAGTCACTACGCGAATTGCCAGTGCTGGCGGTGTGTTTGCAATACGCCTCTTGCATAGTTGATGCTGTGTCCACTTTCACAAGGGCAGTGTGCTTTATCTTTCTCCGTCGTTGGTGTCTTCTCGCGATGTACTTAGCGTCATGGTGCGTCTCTCGTATCAAGGGACAATCCCGGCTCTGGATTGTGTTCCACTGCTTCCTTTTGCTTTGGAGCTTCTACGTCTTGAGATTTATTTCCTTGTCTGCAAGCCGCAGTGACCGAGGACATCTGGCGAGGAGAGAGACGTGGCTGACGTCGTCGTGGCGCCTCACGAGAAACCGACTGCGGACGATGTTATCCTGTGTGGCTGGGTGCTGCCGGTTGCCGCAGCAGTGCCTTAATGGCAAAAATGCGAAAACACCATCGCCGTGCGCCGCTGCTGCTACAACAAAAACGAAAACGACAACTGCAGCACGAAGACCGCCCAGGGCTGAGTCGCCCAGTGATTTACCGTGATGCGGCGAAGTGAGTTCAAAGTTATGCGTTTGTTTGCTTGTCATTCCTTCCTTTATTTGTTTACTGTTATCAACTAACAAACTCTGCTCATGAGGCATCAACGCAAGCAGACACACACACACACACACAGAGAGAGAGATGCAAATAAATGAATGCACAATTCGTGCTTTTTCGTCGAACCTGATGCTCTGCGAGGCGCAAGACGCAGGGCCTGAGTGAGTGAACGATGGCGTACGTTGTGCAGGGGCATAACGGATACAGTCTCCACCCTCCTTGCACCCTCCTTCTAACCATAATTGTTAAACGCATACTTTGCAATAGGGAAGACGAAACGTGAGAGGGCTAGAAGCGTTGTGTGCTTTGTTAGCGCCTGCTGCATAGACACGGGGATCAAACGCTGGCAGAAACAACACAGATTACAAAAGGCGAAGGTGTGGGGGGTTTGAGTAGAGCGTTATGGCGTGTGTGTCGCATTATATTGCCCGCTACACGCTGCTCCGCTGCATTGTCTCAGCAGCGCAGTTTGCCGGCGGTGAGTTGTGCTTCTACGAAACCCATGCCGAGCTTGTGGCAAGGGTGCCGTGGGAGAAACTACAGCTCCGCTTCGGATTGAATATGATGCTCTTCTGCATTTTCGTGTCGTGCGGCAGCAGCAGCTGATGCGAATTGAGCTCCCACGTTCGATTGTGTGGCGTTGGGCGGAGGCCAACGGCTTTGTTTCTGAGCTGGGCGGTGTAGAGAGCTTCACGCATGGGGAAATGGACAAGCCGTGCACACTTATTGAGCAGCTGCGCGAGCCGGACATGATGCATTTCCTTCAGTCTGTCGCACCGATGGTGGCAGCAAGCCGGCGGGCACGTTCGGCGTCGCGGATGAGCTCAACGGAGCCGCTGCCGTTAACGTATTACCCACCGAGCCCCGAAGCAGGCTCAGTGGCAACAACAGAACAAACATGTGAGGCGGACGATGACGCTTGTCTGAGTGAGAACAGCGACGATAATGACAATAGCGGTGGGATGTACGCCTCCAACGAGAATGTTTTGGCGGCGTGTCGGTCCCAATCGGCTGCCACAACCACACTGCGTAACTTCTCACCAGTCGCGGGCGCAGCTTCTGTGGTATCCGCAGGGAGCCACCACAAAGAAGGAAGAGAGAAGCGTGAGAACTTTGCCCCGCCCACTGTGAAGACGACACCGGTGGCCTCCATCAACACCACCAATGAGCAGCGGAGGGAGGAGGGAGAGGAGGAGGACGGTCTCTCACGGTGCCTGGAGGCTCTTGGCACGGAGATGGATACTTCGGCAGTGCATTTGGTGCGTGGTTTTTCCTCACAAAACAGCGCCCTTCTAGCACTTCTCACCGTACAGAAGGGAGAACGTGGCGCCGCTGTTTGCGACGGTGGCAGCGAGGCAGTTGTTTCAAGTACACCACCGCCCCCATCGTTATCATCGAGAGATCTTCAGAGAGCTGGGCAACTGCCAGGGAAGGAGAAACCGCGGCGGCGCACCGTGACGCGTCGACGCCAGCCTCATGTAGGAGATTGTGATGAAGAAGTGGGAGCAACGCCAAAGCGAACCCGGAAGGATAAATCACCGACACCATCGCCGCTTGCAGGTTCCACCAAAGTGGGTGAGGTGAATGCGGCAACAGGGGCAATGGACCGAGCATCACAAGCCGAGTCGTCAGCCGCTGGCGCTCCACACGACCCGTTACCAGCAACACTCAATAATGCCATCCCACCATCAGCAGTTGCTGCGGCGCCTTGTGCAGGTCGTGATGTCGTCCCCATGCGTCACAGCATTTCCACTACAGGGGAGCGTAATGCAGCTGCCCTCAACTTCACTGCTGGGGCAGCGTACAACTTTGCGGATTTTATGACTGCACCAGAGAATGCGGCCCACTTGCCTCTCTTACCCGATGTAAAAAAGGTGCTCCTGGACCTCGAAGGGATGCTTCCACCTAAGCGAAGACGTCGTGGTACTGGAGAGACGAAGGTGTCACGGCCGCCATCGAAGAGAGGAGCAGCAGGAGGAGAGCAACGCAAAACCCCAGCGAAAGGGCGTAGGAAGGGCAAGGAAGTGATCTCAGAAGGGAAATTGAAAGCATCAACGACGGCACAACCGCTGCTTCCGATGGCTGGTGACTGCGCAAGAGCCTTGCCACGTGTTCCTGAAGCTTTTGAAGCTGCTGCTGCTGCTGATTTTGGTGATATCGTCATTTCCTCACCTGCGGCTGCCTCTACAAAAATGGGGCTCTCTGACGTATTAGAACACGGGCCATACATTCAGTCGCCAGTTTTGCCGGCGCGTCAAAATTCCAGACAATCATCAGTAACTGATTGTCCCAAAGCTGGGCATACATCAGATACAGCAGCATCAAATTGTTGTGTCCCATCGACTTGTGTGACTCCCATGAGTGAATACCACTTGGCCGAGTCGGCTTCCCGTCAAGATCGAGAACCAAGAGACGAAAGGAATATGGATACTGGGTCTGGGTGTGCTCATTTTATGCGTGCTGCCTCAGCAGCAGCCGCCGCCGCAACCACCACCACCCCGCTGAGCCTGAGAGCCAGATTCTTGGGGAAAGAAATGGATAGGCAGCTGATACCCACCCTGTTAGGGACCCATGCGCCGCTCCCGTTTGCACCTGACTCACCTTCACTCCATCAGTTCCAGCAGCAGGGCAACAAGCATTATGGTATGCCTTTTGCTGTGGTAGAGGGCGACTCCCGCAAGAATCGCTGGCGACGTGTGGTGCGACAACTGAACAGCCTCTCATTGCACCTTACACAAGCACGAGCGTGTGGCGAGGAGTTGCGGGGGTTGTTCTTGTTGATGCTTGAAGATGCAGAAGTCTAAAAGTGCTATACTACTTCAGACAACTGGAAGCGGTGTGTTTGTGTGTGCGTGGAAGGGAGATATTTCCCACTGATGCTTACAGATCCTCTTTTGCTCTTATATATATTATTATTATTATTTATTATTATTATTTGCAGTTTATACCCCAACTATTTTTGCTTACACACATACGCACGCGGAACGAAACCGCCGCCACAACCCAACAAACTTTGCCCACCCCAAACGGGTGGAACATGGCTGCATGCATGGCCATGCATGACGCCGGTGCATGCATTGTTGAGAAGGACGGGTGGAAAACAGAGAGAGACGTCTTCTCCATAGATGCACACACACGCACAGAGGGTGTGGATGAAATATACAGAAGGATAAAAGAGAAGAAAAATACTTTGCACTTGCATGCAGATGATTTCTACAGTAATATCAGTAGAAATCTGTCATGTGTCTCTCTCTGTGTGTGTCTCTATCTCTTTTTTCGTTTTTATTTTTGGGTTTTATATGCTTGCTATAGTTCAGAGACTTCGGTCTGGTATAGGAAGGTTTAGGAATGGCAACACCGGGCTTGCGCCGTTGGAGACGGGATCTCGGTGTGTCACGAAGGCAAGGAAGGAAATGGGTATTCCGTTTTCTTTTTGCCTTGTGTTTCCTTTCGGCCTGTGTGTTTCTATGGCTGCTGCTTTCAGAGGCTGGTACAGGGTCTCTGGGGGAGGATCTGACTGAGAGGGAGTTGCCAAAGCCCTTTACAAATGATTTCTTCACACGCGTCAGCTTTGTCATGGACGATGCCATGGCCACGGCGTGGCGCACTTCTAGTAGTAGGCTTGAATTTCAAGTAGAAATGTGGGTGGAACGTGTTATTGTTCGCTCCCCCACTGCTGCTGCTGGGCCACTCCCTGCTGTGCTGCAGAAGGCAGGTGTGTCAGGCACACTGTACGGCAAGAGTTCATTGAAGCTCCACCGCACCAAACGAAGGTCATTGTATATCCGTAGCGACGTTCCCATTAAGTTTGTAAACCCACAGCCTGCATTGACCTCTAACATATTCGGACGAAATACGACGGTAGCGTTGAGGGAATTTATCTTGCTTTCTTTGTGGGAGGACACCCACCGCATTGCGTATCGCACTTCTGTTGATTTGCTTCAACAGCTTGACTTGATCTTTTCGTTTGCGCAATTGGTAGAGCTACGCTGCTATCCGTCGTCACGTACGCCACCTGTGGATCATCCATGTGCGTCATCTGTGCCCGGCGTTTCTGTTAGTGATGGTGCACGTGAGGGGAGGACGCTGGGTGTGTATCTTGCTATTGAGCCGCCTGCACCGGCGATATATCGACGAATGAGGGAGGCCTTTACTGTCTTTGAGGAGGTGGCGGATAAACCACTGGATGCCATTCTTGATGCACTGCGCAATGGCTCTTATGGCGCCTTGCAAAAACGTGAGTACGAGCACGTGATGGAGCACGTCACGCGCATCACGTACTGGCGGCAGATGTGGCGCGTCACGAAGGAATCCTACTTAAACAATATGGAGCAGGCACTTGAAATAGGGTCACGCAACTTTATGCAGTTTCGTGAGCCTCGGCATGATTTATCGCATGTACCGAGTTACGTGAAAAACAGCTCTTTTTTGCCTGCCTATCGTCTTGTGGAAAAGGACCCATGGCTTTACGGCCTACACAATGAGACGGACGACAATGTAACGACTGACCGAGAGAAGCAATTTCTTGATATGCCACAATACATGGCATGGATTGCCGTCAATACCATACTACAAAATGGGGATTACGATGACGAGGCTCTTTTTTTTGGGGTATTTCGACCATCCGAGCCTGTGCCAGAGAAACCCCAGCTGCCGATTTATCTGGGCCTGATGGGGTGGGACTATGACAACGTCTTTGCCCCATGTCACCGCAAGCCGTGGTTTAAAGCATCTGTCATGTATTGTGCGGAAGCGACACTTGATAACGCCATTTATGAGACACCAATGCTGTTTACCCGATACGTAGATATTCTTTGGGAGCTGGCGCAACGCATTGACAGGGATCGATTTGGTCGATCTGTTCAGGTGGCAGAGAACGAGCTGCGAACCATCCTTCACGGGGCACCTGGTGCGACGATGGCAACGTTTAACCAGGTTACCCGCAGTGAAGACGTTGGCGTGCGGTGGATTATGGGAGCCTTCTTGGAGCAGCGACAAGATGTGCTTCGGTCTTTGGCGGGTTATTTTCCTACGAATGAGGTTTCGCAGCTCGATCAAACGAGTGAAAGAGATGAAGAGGCGTTAGTGGCTTACAACATGGAGTCGCGTCGTGAACTGATGAGGCGTCTTTCCGCTGTTGTCAAGGTTAGGAACTCACGTGTCAGCGTGAGGTGGGGTTTTTCAATTGTGATGATGCAGTCTGCAACTGGGGTAGACCTTCCAGAGGAGGATGTGTATGAACTCCCTTCTCCCGGTATGTACTGTGCACGCGTCTCCGCCGTGGAATCCTTCTTTGCAAGTGCTGGCGTGTTGCCCTCCTTTAGGGGGCGTGACAGATGGAAGGCGAGAGGTTACTGGCTTATTGATATTCCATTGGTGGTGCCAAGTGCGCGACGTGGGAGTGCGGAATTTGGGCTATGGTACTTCAACAAGCCTCAGCCCATGCAGTATCCGATGGCAATACCTGGCACGGGTGCCACGCTTACCGTCTTTAGGCCACCTGTATGGCCTCAAGACTCCAAAGAGAGGTGCGGGGTTTTTGTTGCTCGCGTACTTTTTCCTCAGCAAGGTTCAGAAAAATCGTTTAGATGGCTTAGAACGAATACACCTATCTCAACCGCTGATGCTGTTTCGCAACGGACCATGATTGTACGTGGCTTCGGGGCCGTACGCTTTGTTGTGATGCCAGAGAAGCGTGAAGACCCGTCCTTCTCTGATGTGCGCCACGCGCAGGAAAATACGATTAGAGGCCCACTTTTGTTTGTTATCAATACCACCATCACGGAACTTGTTGTGAACGGTGCGAATATTACACAATCGTTGCCTCTTACGTCTGTTGCAGCCCCACCACGACCGCCATATGCAGCTGATGGCCTCCAGGATGCGAAGGGCGTCACGTTTGGAGCTTATCTCAACAAGGGGACGGTGTTACATTGCCTGTCTGAAAACGCGGAAGCGACCGGACTGAGAGTGAACGGCAAGGGTTTCTCGGAGCGCCAGGCAGTGTGCCCAATTTTTATTCGTGGCGCCTTTGAGGTTCATCGTGGGGCAACTCTGGAGGTAGCGGCGGGTTGTGTCGTAGTGATGCTGCCTGCGGCGATGCTGCGTGTGTCAGGGTTGCTGCGGTTCGGCGGAACTGCGGCAGCACCCATTGTGGTCACCAGCGAACTGTCAGATAGCGCAAGTGGTTGGCGAACGATTCTTGTCGACAGTCCCTCTGCCACATTGCGTGCAAGCTTTACATTTTTTACTGGTTCTGGCGTGAAGGGGCTGCGGGTGCCAAACACAGGCAAGCACCATTCCCATTCCGCCGCCATCTCCGCCACAAATGGGGCCTCCGTGTTTCTCCGTCACAGCTTCCTGATAGAGCTGCAAGGTGCGGGAATTGTGGCTGGCAAAGGGGCCAAAGTGTACGTTGAGGATTCACTGGTGCAATGGGCTCAAATGGGGATCGAATGTGTGGGATGCACCTTTACGTCAAAGCGATCGGTCTGGACACACTTTCCCGCGTGGGATGTGATCTATGCCGATAACGACAATGACGCCATGTACCTCTCGAGTGGGAAACATCGCGTCATTGATAGCGTTATTGCCCACACGAAGGATGACGGGATTGATTCTGGTGCAAAAGGTGGCGGTGGTTCTCTGGTTGTTCACAACACCATTGTGGAGAGTTGCATGCATGAGGGGGTGGCGCTCTCCGCCGATTCCAAAAGTCATCGCGATGTGGTTATTTCTCACACCATTGTACAGTACTGCCAGCAGGGCATTGAGTCGGGGTACACCTCGACGCAACACACGGCATCCATCATGGCCTCTCTCATCCAACACTGCACCGTCGGTGTTCGTTACGGCGACAACTATCACTGGTCGCACTGCGATGGGAGGCTGACGCTGCAGAACACAACACTCGCCCATAACGAAGTGAATGTGATGAACTACGAGCGACAATATCAAACACCCAAAGGCCCCGAGTATTTCCACTCTGAGCCTACATTATCGCGGCGTCATTGGGATCTTCTAAAAGGTGCCGCATGTGGTTCTGCCCTTCAGCTGACGGTGGCACCACCGGAGGCACTCGTCATTCTACTGATGGATATGCGACAAAACATGCTGCAACGAACAGATTGGGAGGGATGCAAGGATATCTTTATGCTGCCTGGCGACAGTACTCTTGTCGTGAATAAAACAGACCCTGCTTTAACGCTTGCAGAGGAAGATGTGATTACTGGCGATGTAACAGTCGTCATTTGAATTTTGATGTGTTTGTGTTTGTGTGTGTGTGTTCGTATATTATTATTGTTTTGTCCATTTGCATTCCTGCACCGAGCAGAGGAGGAAAAAAGTAAAAAAAAAAAAAAACAGGAAAACTGTAAACTATTTCAAGGTAAAGGAAGGAAACACATCTTCTTTTTTTTGTCATTGCTGTACATATGCAGTATGTTAGAGATTCATTATTTTTGTTGAAATACTAATTTTTATTCTTGTTTCAGGCTACGTGGGCTCAGGCCGTTGGGTTGTTGCTTCTCAGTATGCGTCTTGTACGTGTAGCTGTCACTTGTGTGTGTGTGTGTGGAGTGAGTTTGCATGTACGCAAGTCATTTTTTCACATTGTGCTGCGCCTTTACTGTTGACCATTATTTTATTTGTATTTTCGTTCCTTCTCTGTGTTCATTGTGATTGCTGACGGAATTTGTGCACGTCCACAAAAAAAGGAAGGGACGTGGAGAGAGCGCGCGCGTCGTGGGTGTCGAGGGTAAAAGCAGAAGTAAGAGCGGAAGGAGACGACGAGACATCGGCAGCAAAGACAGCAAGACAGATACATTACACTCATACATACTGTGAGTCGATTTAACGATCAAAGTGAGAGAGAGAGAGAGAGAGAACAAAGGAGAGGAGGTCATGACAACGATGCTTGCATCCCTTCCTCAGGCGCATACCGAGGTGATTACGTCTCTGCAGTTTTCTCCTCATCAAAGCTCTGTCTTTTGCTCCACATCGGGAGATCACACCGCGGCGTTGTGGGATTGGCGTCAGGCCACCTCCGACTATGGAATCGCACGCCTCGCACACCACCAGGGTCCTGTGAACCATGCCCTGTTCCTTGAAGAAGACGAAAAAGTGCTGTTGACGGCGTCAGATGATCGTACGATTGCGTACTGGGATGTACGTGAATTGAGTGTGCCGGTCGGAAGGATTGGCGATTTTGGTGACGGAATCAATAAAATGTTACGAGTCCCTGCGCCTGGTGCCAACGGTGGCAGTCGCTGGCTGCTGGCAAGCGCCTGTGATGACGGGATGGTCTACATTAACTCGCTCAGTCCAGAGAATGGTGTGTGGCAGCAGCACAACTGTCAAGGACAAGGGACGAATGTGTCAAACACGGCTGTTGTCGGAACGATGGTGGATCGTTTCTGGGCATCGACGAGCACCGTGAACGATCTTGTGTTGTCCCCGAACCCGAGCATGCTGCTTACAGCCTCGGAGGATTGTGCGGTGCGGTTGTGGAATATTGTTGCAGATGCGCGGGCTACAACCGAAGATCGACTTGTAGCCTCCTTTGAGGAGTTTGATAATCCAGTTAACCACATTGCCGTGTTTTGCAACGACATTCACGCTGAAGGAGGCCAGTCTCCGCCGGAAGCAGGTGGTTGTTGGTTGTACGCCGCCTGCTCAGAGTTTGTGTTTGCTGTCGATATAGATTCTGTAACCGGTGCGTTTGGGGAGGGTGCCCGCACCTTCGTGGGCCACCAGGACTACGTGCGTGGTCTGGAGTTCATCGACCACAATACACTTCTGACGGTCTCCGATGATGCCACTGCGATTGAGTGGTCGTTGGCCACCGCGGAGCCCGTTCGCCAGGTGAAACTGCATGAGGGGCTCGTGATGGCATCCGCGACGTCCGCAGCGAAGGATGTGCTGCTGACAGGGACAGACAGCGGTGAGTTGCGGGTATGGCAGCTACCGTTCAAAACGGAGATGTGCAACCGGGGGGCACCACACGGCCATTAACGGCGTCGCAGCGAACTCCCTCCGGGCAGTTACTCGTGTTCCCCGTTGCCCACGTTTCTCCGTCTTCCTCTATTTCCACAAACCCCTGCTGTGGAGTGAGAGGCGCGAAGGGGCCCCAATGCCAAGGACAGCAGCGCCGAAAACAAAAAGAAAGGACAAGAGAGAAAATAGTAACGCAAGTGAACCTCTCATAATACAAGGGGCGGATTAAAGGGCAAGCATTAACCAAAAAAAAAAGAGGTGGGGGGGGGGGGGAAACGATAGTTCTTCAATAGGGTGCGGGGAAGAAAAAACAAGAGAGGCAGAAGATGAACAACTCACAACGCAACGTTGTTGTAGGTGCCGGGTGGTATTTGGTTTGTTAGTTGGTTGATTGGTTGGTAGTCAGACACGGAAGAGTTGGAGTTTGAGGCACTGGTGCTGCCACACTAGGCGGAATCCCACCTTGCGCCTTATCTGAAGGGCACTATGGAGACTGAGTAAAAATGAGCTATACAAAGAACACCAAGAACAGGATAAGGGGATGGGGAAGGCAACCACGAATGGGGAAGCACAGGACACTAGACGTAGTGGTGGTGATGAGTTATTTCTCACTTGAAAACACATATTTTATTATTATTCTTTCCATTTTCCGCCGTTTATTATTTTCCTGTTGTGTGGATTTGTGGGGTTTTTGTCTTTGGATTGTGTGTGAGTTTGAAGTTTTTGCCCTGTTGTTGTTATTCTCATTGTTTTGGGCTTTCTCTTTGCTTGTGTCTCACCCCACGGCTGTGCAGTCACCGTGGGAAGAGAGGGGTGGAACCCCGCTGTGTGGGTGGCGAATGTAGAGTTGAAGCTGACAGGGGATTTTTATGGGTGCGCAGGGAGGACAGGGGACTTTCGCCGTCGCCAGCCTTTGTATTGGGCGCGTGACCGAACGAGGATATAACTGCATATAAGAAGGGGGGCTTGTGCGTGTGAGTGGGGCGTGACGTGACGCAATGCCTGCCGCGTACGGATACATTCTTCCTTTTCACTGATCTTATTGATTGCGGAGGGTTCATTTCCTATGCCGATGACAACTTTGTCGCTTGCGAGCTGCTGTCGCAACGTCCACTTCCCCTCGCTGCTAGGATACCGAAAGTTGTGACAGTAGCGGGTAGCAGCACGATGATATCAAGGAAGGTGAGAATTTTTAAAAAATATAGTGTCATCTAACCTTTTTTCTTTAGGCAGTAAAATGGAGGATGCGGTGCGGCTGTGTTGCAACCTCCTCAGCTTTACGGATGAAGCAGGGCCGGAAGTAGGGGCAAGGACGAGGGTGCAGGAGATTGCTGCATTGGGGGCGAGACAGGGGTTGGCTTGCTAATCCCATTTTTTTAATTGTTATTTTTTTTTGAGCCATTCTTTTTTAATTATTATGTATGTTGTTGGTGATTCTTAACATGCGAGGGGGCGATACCCACGCTCATACACTTCTTTGGTGGCTTGTGCCATGTGGCTCACGGCGGACTGTTTTTGCGGTTCTGCTTCTCGTTGCAGAGATCACTCCTTTAGTTCTCCACCCCCCCCCCCCCCCCCCTTTTTTTTTTTTTGCGGTCCGTTACAGCCAATAGCGGAAAATCACAGTACTAAACGTCTTGGGTGTCAGCATCATTTATTTATTGGCGAGGTAAGTGGCATCTCCGACTTTCAGGGCGAAGCTTCCCTTTTGGGGTCTTTGCAAAAGACCGAGAGGTGAGCTAGAGAAGAGGAGAATAACCTTCATTGTCTTGTTTGTTTCTCTTTGTGTGTGAGCGTGCGTCATCGTTCACCACCTTTGCGGCGAGCTTTGCAAGCGGCAGAAGAAGAGGCGGAGCCGTGCCGAAGCCAAAACGGGATTGCACCGGATGTGGCGCCTCTGTGGCGGCGTGAAGCACCTCGCCGTCTCGTGGATTGGGGCCTCGCTTGACTGCAGTGCTGCAGCTGCCATAATGGGCCACACGACTGTGCGGCGGTGGCAGTCGCAGAGCTCTCGCGGTCAGCCGGGGCTTCACTGGGATGAGGGCGTTGTCGACCCGCGCTACTCATCGGAGGGCAACATGCGGAAGTTTAACCCTGACACAGTGGCCCACTACGTCAAGGCGACGATCCAAAACGATCGAAGGGAAATGGGCCTTGGGGAGGTGTACGACTGGAATGAATTTGCGAAGGACGCCGTATACATCCCAACGCGGTCGGGGCCGTTATGGGTTGGCAGTGACGACCCGCGCTGTGCCAAGTTTATGCGCCGCCGCGAAAAAATGAGGAAGACGCCGCAGCAAAAGGCACGACCGAAGCCGGGGCCTGACCCTGCCAAACAACTCGAGGATCACCCACTGCGGGAGTTCTTTACGACGGCGACCAATCTGCGTGATCCACTCAGCACAGCGAATAATCTGCACCGTGCGGGACTCATCCGGGAGTACGATATCAAGCATGTGGCGGCGAAAATTCGGTACATACCACGTCCACCGATTGTATCTATTATGGGCCACGTTGATCACGGCAAGACGACGTTGCTGGATTACCTGCGCCACACGAATGTGGCCTCGGAAGAGGCGGGTGGTATCACTCAGAACGTTGGCGCCTTCCAGGTAAAGACAGCGGAGAGTCATGCGGTGACCTTTATCGATACACCCGGTCATGCTGCCTTTGCAGCGATGCGGGAGGTGGGTGTGGCAGCCAATGATCTTATTATCCTCGTCGTCTCTGCTGTTGATGGGGTGCAGCCACAGACGAAAGAGGTGATTGACCTCGCTCGCCACGCAGGCATTCCGCTTGTAGTCGCGTGCACAAAGATTGATCGACAGCCGAAGGTGGATGCCATAAAGCAGCAGTTACGCGGCTGTGGTGTAGAGCTGGAGGAGGATGGTGGGGACACTCAGTTCGTTTGTGTGTGTGGACGGGATGGCACCGGTGTTCCAGGCCTCTTGGAGGCAGTCGCCTTGCAAGCGGAGGTGTGTGAGATTAGTACCCCGGACCCCTCGAGATGTGAGGTTACTGTCATTGAGTCAAGTGGTACCAGTGCGACAAATGAGGTGACAGGTATCGTGCGTTGTGGGAAATTGAGACCGGGACAAGTGTTGGTGTCGGGTATGACGTACGCGACTGTTCGGAAAGTTCTGGATGACCGTGGGAATACAGTACAAGAGGCCGGACCCTCCATGCCAGTCGTTATACATGGCTTTCGCGTTCATCCCAAGCCGGGTGCTGTGCTAATGCAGGTGAGCAGTGAGTCTCATGCGCAGAAGTATTATCTTTTTATGAAGGATGTGTACAAGACGGAAGGTCGGCGTGAGGATTATTTACAGCTTCTGAACCAGGAACAACATGGAATGATTTATGCCCGTAAACCGGATAACAATATGGTGCGCACATACAGTACTAAAGCCTTTGTGCTGTCTTGCAAGGCGGCAACCTTTGGCATGCTACAGGCTCTCATGAAGACACTCTACGAATTGCCTCGATTGGAAGGTATTTCAATGGAGATTAAGGTAACCGAGGTGGGTGGGCTAAAAGATTACGACATTGCCCTCATTGGGAGTTCTGGGCAACCCGGCTGTATTCTTCTCTACGGGGATAGCAAGGATACAAACACACTGGATGTTCCTAATCACGTCAAGGTGATTCGTTTCGGCGTGTTATACCACGGCATTGATGCACTAAAGGAAACATTTGTGGAGGCGATGCCTAAAATTACAAAGACACGTGTCACGGCGGAGGCGGAGTGTTTGCAGGTATTTCGTGCATCACAGGCAGGGAGGAATGGCAATGCCGGTGGGGTACGGGTAACCAAAGGCACCATCATTGGATCGCATCTCTTGTTTCGTGTCTTGCGCAAGTCTTCGCGGGGTAAACTCACGGGAGGCGGTAACGGCTCAAAGAGGAACGACGGCGATGACGACACCACAGAGGGTTCTCGTACAGTAGTGTACGAGGGTCAAATAAAGGAGTTGCGCCGCTTCAAGGAAATTGTGCCTTCTGTTGAAATGGGCCTGGAATGCGGGGTTATTCTTCATGATGAATTTCAGTTTCGGTCAGGGGACATTCTTCAACAGTGTGAGGTGTATGAGGAGCCACGTGATGTGGCTGAGGAGTACGCAGCGGCGGAGCTTCGAGAGAAAATTATGCTGGAGACGGCCGCAATGCAGGCAGAAATGGAGGAGAAAAATGCAGAGGGTGAAAGCAGTGCTGCTTCCATGTAGTCGGCAGTGTGGACAGCAGGCGGAAGGGAACTGCGCCTCTGGCCATGATTCTGATGTGCCTGATACTTTTGCACTGATGACTATGCAGCTATGAAGTAATTTATGCTTTCGCTTTTCCTATTTGTTCCTCCTTTCTCTCCTGCTGCTGTTCGCCGCCCTGGCGCGCTCAACAACAAACAAACAAACAAACATATGCATAACGATAATATCCACAGAGAATAACATTGAACAACGCGGTGGAGAGGAGGTGAGGGGGGAGGGGGGAAGAACTCCCCTTCAGCGTGCGTTGCTGGGGGGCACCCCGCATGTTTGGAGTGCGAGGCAGGGGAATTGGGGATTGGCGGTGCTGGGGTAGAGAAAGCGCCCGCAGTGAGACTAAGCCCCATGATGTTTTGAGCGAGGTGGAAGGAGGAGACATTCAAGAGCCCAAATGGTGCACGTGAAGAATGCCATTTTGTCACATATTCCTGTAACGAGGCACGCCTACAAGCACACATGTATGTGCGTGCATGTCTGCCTTTCCCCGCTTTCGATGCCTGTCTCCCAATGTTGCGGGCAAAGGGCTGGTGTCTCATCTCTACTAGATGGGAGGGGGCGGGAGAGAGAGAGAAGGTGCCGACGGTTCAGAAAAGGTCATTTTCTTTTTGCCAAGAACGTGCAGCTCTATTTTACTCATGTTCTGACTTGTGGCTTGTTGTTTCTAGATTTTCTTACTGTTTTGCGCTTCGTTCCCCACCCCTGCTTCTGATTTAATAATATGCATCTGCTTCTGCGTATGCGACGGACGAAACCTACAGCCATACAAAGAGGAAGCAAAGTAATAACAGACAAGGAAGGATCATTTGTGACGTTCAACTTCAATGCGTCGCTGTTTATGCATCTCGCTTTCCCTCTTCACAGAGGCGCGCGCTTCCAACAGGGGACTGCAGGCTGCGCCGCAACCGCTGACCCATCAGAACCATCAAGGGCGGGTGACACGTTTCACGCCCATGCGTTGGCAGTCGTCGTCTACATTGCAAGGGCCGAACGGGTATAGTAGTGCGCAGCAGGAAGGGAGAAAAAACATGGAATTACCCTCTCCACTGCAGCAGGCGCTGGGCTCTGTGGGGGATGAAGGCTTTACAAACCTCTTCAACTCGCGACCAGTTGCGGAGCGGGCGGCGGCGATGTTTATTGCGCAACGATACCCCTCGGAAGGTGCTACGCTGAAGGTATTTTTGGAGCAGCTGCCAAAACTGAGCCGTGATGACATGTTTAAGCGTGGGCTGCCGGCCGAGGAGTGGGTGCGAGCATCTACGCTGATGCAGCTTGAGGAGGATGCCTCTGGCATGTGCCGCGTGAAACTCGCGGCAGACGCAAAGTTTTTTCTTGCAGGAACTTCAGTTGACGAGGTGGCCGAGGAAAGAGAAGACCCGTCACCCGTGGCAGTGGACCAGGAAGATGTGAATCTCACGGAACAAGTGCTGCGTTGTTTGCGCCAGCGTGTCCTCGGCGTAAGAGATGAGGCTAGCAGCCCAAACTATAAGGCCCTTAACGAGACCTACTCCTCGTTTATTCGGGAGGCTTCCTCTTGCAACTCCCTGCGGAGTTTTGTGAGCACCCTCAAGTTCGGGGATTTTCTTGCTATTTTGACTTCTCCGCGTGGGCGGGAGGATTTTTGGTTGTTGAATGAGAAGTATATCTGCACCCGACTTTCTGGAGAGGCGCAACCGCCACGGTTTGTCTCACCACAGCCGCAGACGATGGTGGCGCATGCCCTAAATGCATATGGCGGTTGGGGTGCGGCATCCAACGTGCCAACGCGACAGGATGTGTACGAGATTCTAAAGTACGTGCCCGTTTCCTGGGGAAATTTTGGCAACCTCAACATACCAGCTCCGGTGAAGAAAAAACACATTCGTATTGCCTCAGCCTTGCAGTGGTTTCGGCGTCAGCCTTTTTATTTTGAGCTGCGCAACCTTGCGGGGACCACAGAAATTCGTCGCAGCATTTTGCTTCACCCGGAGGCTCACGGGTTGACTCCTGAGGAGGCCCATGAGCGTCTACAGTTGAAGATTGCAAAGGGTGAGGCAAACAGTCTGGCGCCTGTAAACGCCGAAGGGGAGGTGTTAGCAGCTACGGAAGCCTCACAACATACAAATATACTTGTAAAATTTATTGCGCGTGTTTGCCCAGGCTACTTTGTCCCCATTTCGCTGCTCATGCAACGTTACACCAAAAAGAATTTGACCCCAGGTGAATTACTCGCCTGCGCCAAGGGAAACCCCGATCAATTTGAAGTCATTCATCTCAAGTACGCAGACAATCTTCTTCTGCGGAAACGCGTTGGTGCGGACAGCGTGCGGTGGAAGTACGGTTTTGTGGAGGATTTGGAACGACACCCAGAGGACGTGAGGGGGCTCATTATTCTCATGGGGCGCGTTTGCTCCACGTGGGATCGACCCCACTACGTGTATGTGCGTCTAACAGAGGAGGAAAAGGTGCTCGTGGGTGGATTTGAGGGCATGATGAGCATTCTGCAACGTCACCCGATGGTGTTCAGGGTTGGGGAAAACTTTATTTCCCGTGTTGATCTTTCCGACCCCCTTTCTTTGCGTGAATCCGAGCCTTCTCCGGATGACATGGCGTCCCGCGTTGCAATTCGTGAAGAAAACCCTTACCAAACCCCACGTGACTTGGCGGTGGTGTTCCATTACGTGGCCCCGGAAGATGAACCTTGCACCGCAGGCTTCTTTTTGCACTGCGCCAGCCCGGCGATGCGGGCCGTTTTGCCGCCGCGAATCGTTACCCTGCTGCAGCTTTTTCCAGACCTCTTTGTGTGTAAGGAAACCTCCCCAGGCGTCTTTTTGATGCGCAAAGCGAAGAAGCGGGCCCACCGTGTGGCGGGCGTTTTTGCCAAAGATCCTGCTCAAGAAGGAAGGGGGGGCGCCGCCGCGGGCGCGCCCGCCCCGCTGGGGCGGCAGCAGATCCCGAAGGAAACTTCGGGGGCAGATGGCGAAGCATTGGGCATGGAGGAGGCATTTGAAGAAAATGAGTCCCTCTCTCGCGAGGAAGCGGTGCAGGCGGTGAGGGCGCTGGTGCCGCCCGGGGGGGTAGAGGCCTCCCGGCTGCTACTCTGGGCCTCCCTTGCCGTTCAACAGGCCGCGAACCAACACTACGGCGGGGTTTTGAAACTTGTGGAGGCCAACCGCGCCCACTTCCGCGTGCAGGAGGGTTCCGAATCGAAAACGATTTACCCGGCAAGGGAGGGCGGGGCGGATGCGCGCTGAGCGGCGGGCCGCAGCTCGCTTGTCACGTTTTTTTTTTCTTTCTTTTGCGGCGAAGGCCGCTGTGGGAAGAAGCAAAGCGAGCGCGCAGGAAGGGGGTGGGGAAAAAATGGCGCGCGAAGGGGGTTTCCTGCCCATTGGTGTTTCCGCCCGCCTTGCTCTTGCCACCCTGCCGCCCGGGAATTTTCTTTTTGTTTTCTCCTACTCCCGCCTCTCTTTCTTTCTCTCTCTCTCTCTCTCTCGCCAAGAGGGCGGCGGGGCGTTTATTCTCCCGACGCCTGGCGTCGCCGGAGTCTAATTCCCTGCGCAACCGATCCTTAAAACAAGGAAACGGGACAGCTAGGGCGTGGGGGCGCTCTTGGGGAGCGGGCCCCCTCGATTCGACGGGAAGCTGCGTTGGCGCGTTCGTGGAAAACGCGAATTTTGCACCCTCCCGCGGGTCTCTCCGTGCTTTCGCCTAAATACACGCAGAGTTGGGCGGCTTAGGGGGCACACGCGCGACTCTTCACGCCACGCGGCAGCTGGTTAGCCTTCGCGATTCCTGGGCGACAACCTTGGCAAACCGTGCGGTGGCGGGTGGGGCCGCGTTTCTGCAGCGCCAAAAACCGTAAATTAGACACCAAAAACTGACGCCGGGCCGGCTCACACGGAGGCTGCCGCTGGGGAAGTTTGCGCACTTTGTCCCGGTGGGGGTGGAGGTGGGGGCGCCAGAACCTTGGCTGGCCGATGCTTGCTAACCATTTTTCAAACGCCTCGATGGCTCTCGCCAGCGGCTTTCCTCCTTTCCCGGAGGGGCTTGCGCCACGGAGCCGGCGCCATACAGAATGGTTTTCGCCCACCGCCCCTCGCGGCCCAGTTCGACGACGCGCGTGTCGCCTGAACTCCGGGTACAAATGCCGTGTCGCAGCCAGGCGCGGCCGCTCCGGTGGCACCGGCCGATACCGGAAGCCGCGCGACAGCAGTGGCCCGGTGGTGGGAATGCGGCTGGCTCCCGGCTCCTGCCGAAAAGTGCGGAGCACTGCTAGCAACCAGTAAATTAATGAATCGACAACCCGCCCAACAGAACTCCGCAAAAGAAAGAGCATTGGGGTCGCCCCCCAGTGGGGGAGGCGCCGCGCAAGAGTGTTGCGCCTCGGTAGGGGTCGCAACGACGCGCCCTTTCATACGTTTTTGGCCGGTGGGTTGCGGGTGGCGTTTG